AGCTGTGGCTGTCCCCTCCCTGGCAGTGTTCAAGGCCAGGTTGGATGGAGCTCTGAGCAACCTGGGCTGGTGGAAGATGTCGCTGCTGATGGCAGGGGGGTTGGAACCAGATGATCTTTAAGGTCCCTTCCAACCCAAACCGTTCTATGATTCTTTGTAATTCTTAAAGCCTGTGAGGGCTTAGGTCAAGAGCCGTTTTACAGCTTGAAAGTAACAGACCTGCCGTACGTTCTTCTCAATGTGATTAGCTCAGATATTTTCATCGCCCAGATCTAAAATCAGCTTTGTGCTTGGCCTTTGTGTCGTATTTCCCAAGCCGCGAGCCTCCAAGTGCAGGAATCTCACTGACCCGAGGCATTTCTGCGTGGCGCTTGCGTTTCCAGCAGGCATACAGAGACTTCTTACGGCAGCGAGCTTCAGACAGAGCTCTTGCTGCCGTGCAGCTGCGTGGGAGGGGTGGCATGAAGTACAGGCTGAGGCAGGTTTCGGGCTTTGCAGCTGATGTTCCAACTCCCACTGAGAGCAGAGAAAATCTGAGTCGCCAGCAGTTTGTCAGCCAGAACGGGATCCTAACTTGTATGTACGGTGTAAGATCTTAGGGACTTTGTAGCTATTCTTCTGTAAAATAAAAATCAAATAGACACGAGGGAAGATAGGAAGCATCTTTGAGGCAATCTTCCGAGGACTACCCTGTGCCAAAACGCTGGACAACAAAAGCGGAAGGGAAGCGTGTCGTTGCATTTGTCTTCTGAGGCTGCTCGTATCCGCCCTGCAGTTTCAGCATCATCTCTCTGAGCTGGTAATGCCACAGTTCTTGATGACAGGTGAAAATCACCGAGTAGCCATCTTGGGATCTACCACTAATTATTCTTCCTGTGTGCATCTCTGGAACTTCAAAACTGCTGTCCTGATCCAGCCAGGGAAGTTTGTTTGCTGATGTGTTATATTTAGTTGCAAAGGGAAATTCAGTTTGAATTCCGTTTTTTTTAATTCATTTGCAGCTGGTTTTTCTGGATTGCTCGCAGGCAGGCTGGCTGGCTCTGTCCTTCATTCCTACCACGTAAAATATGTGGCAGAATACAAGGAATTAATTATGGGGATATATAACGAGGGCATAATAGCGATGTAACCATATGGAGTGTATACAGTAGAATAGACTCTCCATTAGAAATACCTGCTTCAGTGTGGGAGAGAGGGGAGCAGCTTGTGTTAAGCATCTTTGCCCTAGCTGAGATATACCTCTTACCTGTATTTTTTTTTTCCCCGTTTATTCTTATTAAATCAAGTTGTTTGGAACATCTTCCAGGCTGTGTTGATGTTGCTGAGCAGTGCAGCTCCTAGAGATGCTCTGAGTCCTGCCGAGGCCGGAGCAGCCTTACAGCCCCAACAGGTCAGCGTGGCCGTATCCCTGCTGCGAACGAACTCCGGGAGCTTGGATTCACCCTCGCTGCAGCCTTGAAAAATGGGGTGAAGATCCTGTATTTAAGAAGCAGCACTTGATAGTGCTTACTAATGCTTTGCTCTTTGCCTGAAACACATAAAGGATGTTCTACACGAAGCTCCCACTAGTGTCTAGAAACTTGGATGCAGTTCTGCTGCAGCGAGCTTTACTATCACTGAGCTTTGGTAATGGCTGGGGGCCGTGTGTGTGCACGCGGCCTTGTGCTGCGGCAGACGTGCAGACGTCCACCTTGGCCTTAATGAAAAAAGGGTTTAAGATACATTAAGGTATTTGGCAGTCAGGAAGAAAGAATACAGCGTGCCCAGATATCTCATTTCAGCTGATAGACACTAACTTAGGTCGTATGCATAAAAATCTTTGCTGATACCCGTGTGACTGAGTGGATTAAACTGTCAATATGTGCAAACTGAAGTTAAGGTTAACAACTTTCTGTGCCTTAAGATACTGTTCTGGTTATGGGTATTAAGGAAACTGCTTATTGAATCTTACTTATAGGTAGAGCTATATCTTGGAAGTAAAAAACCAGCCCATTTTTCTTGCAGGTGCGCTACAGGTGCTGAATTCTGATGTGACAGTAATGCTCCCTCCCCTGAATATCGCTGCAGTTGTTCTGATGTTTTATTTAAGAGGTGTTGGTTTTTTCATTTTTTTACAGGCAACAATCGGCATTGACTTCTTATCGAAAACCATGTATTTGGAGGATCGAACAGTGAGTAAGATTTTTGTTGCACTTCTCTATGTACAGTAGGACTGAGGATCAGCATCTGTTGTAGTTGTGCAGCCCACAGTTCTGAGATCACTTGGAAGGACAGACTGAGCCTTCAGCTCCCAGCTGCTTCCAGACTGACGAGTGCTGTGGAGCCAGCTCCCTGCTCTGTTTGGGGAAACGGGAAGTCACCATTTGGTTCATCTCCGCAGGGCTCACGAGGGCCATTTTACAAGCGGCAGAAGGTGCTGTGGTGTCATCCTCTTTGAAGAAAGAGATGATAGGGATAGTTTGAGGGGTGTATAATGGTGGGAATTTGGAGAAGCTTAACCACTTCAGTTTTTGATGTCACAAGACAGAAAGATAAAATATAAATTGCCAGATGTTGCCAGTTAATAGCTAGCTTGATATTCTTAATTTTGTAAAAAGAAGGTTGCCTTCAAGAGTAATCCAGAAATGATACTTATTTCTTAGCCTGGGTGCAGGTCTAGTTCCTGGAATGAAATTGCTCCTCTGTGGAAGCAAGCCTGCGGTTTAAAATGAGCTCAGATTCTTAATTAAGAAATTCAGGCATTGAGCTATTTGCAGAAGCAGATTGTGCAGTGCTGCATAAGCTTATGGGTATTGTATAAACCCACAATAAATGTGATTGCTGTGAAAGCGCTCGAGCGATGAGATGTTCTTTCCAGAGCAAAACTGGCCCTTGCGCGGCTTGCCATACGTGTTGCTTTTAGTATATCTTCCCTTTTCTTTCAGAACCTTGATGGTAAGAGACATTCAGCCTCATCTGTGTGCATGTTACTTTGCAGCGTGGCTAAGGCTTAAATACAGAGTAATAACTAGCATTTCGTCCTCCTTGAAAAATCCCCGTTATAGCTTTGCCGGTGCTGTGACAGCAGCTGAAGGCTCTTCCTTTCCAAGTATGAGGCGGGGGCCGATTCTTCCACCAGCAGCCATCCTCCAGGACGCTGGAGGTTACGGGCTTGGGTCCTGAGGAAGGATAGCAGCAGAGCATGAAAACCTTGCGTAGGCAGAAGCGCGGGTGAACATTCGCCTTAGCTTTCTCCCCTTTTGGAAGGGAAACATTTTTTAGAAAGCAAAGACAGCGGAAAGCCCAGGGTAGGTGCACATTAACCGGTTTGGCTGCTGCTAGCGCTTGGCAGAGATTGCTGTGAAGGAGCCAGCGTGCTGCTGCTCCCGGTCCCCAGTCATCTCCTGCATGAGGTTATAATTTTTGTTTAGCTTTTTTCAAAAAGTACAACTTATTTACTCTTTTATTTTTAGCGGCAGTTCGGCTTTTTTAATTTTCTCCCACCCACAGATCAGGTTGCAGCTGTGGGATACTGCGGGTCAGGAACGTTTCCGTAGCCTCATTCCCAGTTACATCCGTGACTCTGCTGCTGCTGTAGTAGTTTACGATATCACAAGTAGGTATATTGCGCTGGGTTTGACCTTTTTTCTTATTTTTCTTGCTTGTTTGACTGATTTTGTTAGGTACGGTTGCAATTATGGGACACAGCAGGTCAAGAACGGTTCAGGAGCTTGATTCCTAGCTACATTCGTGACTCCACTGTTGCAGTTGTTGTTTATGATATCACAAGTGAGTGGGGGGAATTCTGCATTTCTAATACTCTGCCCCTTTCATCCTTTAGCCTAGCTTTGCATGTCCTATCACAGTCATCTGCTTGTTCTTCATTCTGGCATGAAAAAAAACCAAAATAGTTTTCTTTTATTGTAGTCAAGTTTTAAGCTGTTGTAACGTATAAACTGTCTTACAAATATCATTTTGTAACCCTTTCCTATTGCACTCTCCTGAAGCCTTGAGTCCTGGCCGGTCTTGTTGCACTTTACCCTCTTTCATCTGCTTTTTGATCGTAATATCACCTACGACTTTTGGTCTCAAACACCTGAATCATGTTCATAGATATCTGAATTCTGAAGTTAGACACTTTGCACTGATAGCTGTAGCTTGCTTCACTCCATTTGCCCCCACCCCCCAAAAAAAATCTGGGCGTGGGCTGGGGGGAAAATGCATTAACATCATGTTTCCATTTGAATCCCTCACTTTCACGTTTCACCATATGTAAAACTTACCACAAAACCCTTATCCTTTAACAATTGCTCTTTCATTTCTTACTAAGGTATGTGCATTTTTGTCAACTAAAATATTAGTGCTTTTTCAACCCTTCTCCTGTCCCTCCCCTCGGTCCACAGACCCCTAACTTACTAGCTTTCTGTATTTGCAAAGAAAAAGAAATTTTGTTTTAGGGAGAACCAAACCTTCAGATGCTTTCAGTTCTATAACCAGAATTGACTGAGAGCAATGGCCTAATTCTTCTGTACAAATGCAAAAGTGCTCGTCCTTTGATTTGTAAATACTAGAAGGTTACAGCAGGAACACGGGCTTTACCTATAAAAGCTTTAATTGTTAAAAATAGCACTTTCATCTGAGCTGAAATTATGGGTTAGCGGTGAACTTGGCAATTTTTTAACTGATCTAGCAAATTCAATATTACCAAGTAGTAAAGAGAAGAATTGAGACACTGGCAAGCGATCAAATCTTGACTGTCTAGCATACAATATATTACTATGCAATAGAAGCCATTAAAAAAAATCAATACTTTTCAAGAACTGCTGCAGAGCCCCTCCTTCTTTAAGTACTGCAAACTACTTTGGCATCTCGGATGCTCTTTGTGTAGCTGACGGGCAAACGCTGAGCTCCACGGCAGCTTCCAGACAAGTTTTTCCGTATGGGATGCGACTTCTCAAACAACACACAGTCTCGTTAGATCAGGATAGCTGCCGAAAATTCTTCTCTTGCAGCTTTTGAGGAAGTGACATTAAGAAAAAGTGTCTGTGGATAGGCTAAATTTTATCTCTGGTTCTACGCAAATGATTTGGAAGCTGTTTTGAACTCACTGTTCAGTGACACAGGAGTTGCTGGCGTGTTGTATAGCCCTGGTATTTCCTAGAGAAAATCCTGAACCTAGTGAGTAGAAAGTGATTAAACTGTACAGAATCACAGATCACAGACTGTTAGGGGTTGGAAGGGACCTCTGTGGGTCATCTAGTCCACCCCCCCCCCCTTTTTTTTTTTTTAATATTAATTTTATATAAAAATACAATTTTTTAAAATATAAATGTGGAGCTGGTAGTAAATACTTCTGAGAAGCAATGAAACTGTAGGAATCTCCTGCTGCAGATGCACGAGTCAAGAGCAGTGTAGAATGCAATATCACGTTGATCCCCGTTCTCTATATAAGATATTTTATGTTGAACTTAAAAGAAGGGAACTGGTCTAAAACACAGTCATAAGGCTTCTTGTTTTAGACGCTGTCAAGACCAAATTGTAGATCAACTCGGTTCACTCCCTGGCTTTGAATTCACCTGTAATGAAGTGCTAGTCCGTTTTAAGTTAATGCCAAAGTTTTCATATGCTTCAGTGTGGGAGACTTAGGGTTTCACTTGCTGATTCCTCATCACCCTACTATGCCAATTCCAGAGAACGTGAGGCTTTGATTTGAGACTTACAGATGTATTTGCCAGTGATCCGTGAAGAATACCTGCAGTGATAATCCTCTCCACTGTTCTCTGTTAGATGTAAACTCGTTCCAGCAAACCACAAAGTGGATCGATGATGTCAGAACGGAAAGGGGCAGTGATGTCATCATTATGCTGGTGGGAAATAAAACAGATCTAGCAGATAAGAGGTATGGAGGAATAACTCTTCTTTCAAATGCTTTTCTTAGACTGCTGCTGTTTGCTTCCAGACTGCTAATTTAAAAAGAATGCTTGTATTTTTTTTTCAAAACGCTGAAGCTTGTTTTAACTGTCCTGGAGATGGCTGTGACTACAGAGCCATCTCAACTTTACTTTCGTTTGATTAAGCACAAGTTTCCAGCACGGTGCTGGGAATGAGTTGAGAAACTGTCACCAACTTGTTCAGATGTCAGGAGAGAACGGAGGGTTAACTACAACCTGCATCAGTGAGCGAAGAAGCTAAAGTCGTTACAAACATTCATGCTTAATAGAGCTGCTCAGATAGAAATGATAGGTGCAAGTAATCTTCCCTTTTAAAACACTTCAGGGGTTTTCAGAAGTTGGCAAACTTAAATATTCTTCCTAGGAGTTGTGCATCTTCAGCTTTTGCTGCATTGTGTACTCTTCTTATTCTGGGTTTATGGTATCCTTAACACAAATGAGTAAAAAGTCACAAAGGTAAAGCAAAAGCATGAGGGGGAAGTATTCCGGATTTGACTGAAATCCTGGTTTCCTCAGAACAGTTTCACATGTCACCCTTACTTCAGATTTATGGCATCCTATTAAGAATTGTTTATGCACGCACAGTCCCATCATATGCCTCATGATTTTTGTTTGGCAATTCTTGAACCAGAGTTTCCCCCAGTTTTTGCTATAGTGGCCTGCTTAATGGGTGGGACACCCAGCCACGGGAAAGCAGGACAAAATTCATTTGATGGGAGGTGGTTACACTCAGTCCTGCGTTAAAATAGTTTGGTAGGCTGCAAGTTGTCAATTGTTATTGGGTATTAAAATCTATCAGTTGCTGATTGTTCAGACGTGAAAGCGTAGCTTCCTGGACAGGGATTTGGCAGGGTCTCGTTGGCCCACTGAGCTGTTCCACTGGAAAGCCGAGTTCTACGTTGGGAGCCAGGTGTGCCGTAGAATTCCATCTGTTAGGGTGAAATGGTGGTGCTTGGCTCTGCTCAGTGTGTGGCATCTGCATGCAGGGAGAAAACACACAGTAAATGCTTGCAGAACTGTAATGCAGCAGTCATCTCCTTGGGTTGAAGACAAAAAAATCTTTATTTTCCATGTGTTTTGTCTGGTTTTTTTCCTAATTCTGTGTTATTTTCCCCAGACAAGTGTCCATTGAGGAGGGAGAAAGAAAAGCCAAAGAGCTGAATGTAATGTTCATTGAAACTAGTGCAAAAGCAGGATACAACGTCAAACAGGTGAGTGCCGTCTTGGCCGCAGCCAGCCCTGAGATTACTTCTCCTAACGCACCGCCGTGGAAATCAGACCTCCCTAGGCCTTGGGAGGCCTTGCAGGGGGTGCAGAGGGACGTCTGTTGTCCATACACAGCAATCAACATCTCCGAGTCGACTCATTCGCTGAGGTTCGGAAGGATCCCTGACCTTGCGGCAAATGACTCGGATCTTTCCCTTATAAAAGAGGACTCATCGAAGATGCTTTGTGGGTGTGGAACCGTACCTTCCTGGATTCTTGATAATCCAGATGTGGCGTTTAGATTGAAGGGATTAACGCATGAGCTGAGAAGTTGGGGGAACACAGGTCTGAGGATGGTTTCTGGTGCTGATTCAGTGAAAGAATGTGGGCAAACCAGTCAAGGAGGAGTGTGGTGGCTTACCATGCCTCCACTGTACAGTGAGACAGTGTAAACTGGTGTTCCCATTCTGCTGGAAGGCACTGGGAGTGTGAGCAAATGTGCTTGGACAGCCAAAGCTGTTTGTTTCTGGTAGAAGACGAGTTGCTATTGAATCGGGGAAAGCAGTGAAATGTCTTTTGAGCTGATGCAACGGCAACGAAATTAGGTTTTATGTTGTGAGATGAGCGACGGCTCTTTAAATTCTGACCTGCTAGATGAAGTTTTAGCACTTGTGTTAATGAAGATAAATCACTTGGTGAACAGTGAACTGGTGAAAGTAGTAAACGCTGATCTGGTGCTTACATGGAGGAAATTTAGTTTGAGCTCGTTAGTTGTGTAAGCAAATATACTTACGAGCGGATTGTGAATGGAGAGCTCGAGCTGTACATCCCTACTGACCCAGTGCGTAATGGGATACTGCTTTTTCATCGATTTCTGGTATGGAGTCTTCACCGCCAACGCGTCTGGCTGCTGGTCATGGCAGGAGGAAAAGCCGTAGTGCAAGAGGGAGAAGACAGTCTTTCGTGGGTGTCTTCATAGAACAAACGCGTGCACACGCATACATCACAGGTTTATTTTATTTACATGTGTAGTTACACAGATAATTCATATGCAGAATTGTATAAGGAGTTGGTAAAACAGGGTTATAAATTACTTTGTATGTTATAGACAGGACTAAAGGGTCTGTTATTAAAACGTCCCTGGACTTGGTATATTAGGAGAAAAATTATTCCTTATATAATGGAATAATTAGACGTGTTAACTTGGCACTGTGTTTCAGTGCATTAGCAAGCATAGAAGTGTTTGGTTCCAGGGTCCACCAATTATCCTGCCACAACACAGAGACTGCCTTGTAATTAAGGCTCGGATTTTGTGCTGGAATCCTTAATGTTTACTCGGGGGTGTGCGCTGGAGAGCAGTCGCCTCGCTGAGGGGAATGATGGTGATGATGATGAAGGTCTGTGCTCCCTCTCTCCTTGAGGAAGCTGCTGGGCAGCTGACACGGTTCCAGAAGTCCGTGTCCAAGCCTGTGAGGTAGCTTGTGGCTTTCGTGGCCGGTTGGAGCCGTGAGGATTTGAGGTAGAAGTAAGGAAACCTCGTAGGGTAAGCCCGTAGTTTGTTTTGGCGTAAGATACTGTTGTTGAATAAAACATGTGCTTTGTAAAGCTAGCACAGCCTTCATCATGAAGGATGGTAGCTCCGTTTAATACATTATGAAGGAACAAACTTTATCTTTTTGTGTTTTATGCTGAAGCTGTTCAGGGATTGTACTAATGAAGCTTGTCAGAGCATAAAGCCATTTCTGTAGCTGTAGCTTCACTTGCACGCTCTCTAGAGAAAATTCTTAGTTGTATAATGGAGGTCTAGACAAACTATGCCTCTGATTTGAATTGTCAGGTTACATGCTGTAAGACTGCTTCTGTGAGAAAATAGGTTTAGTTATTCAGCTCCAGCAAAAAAAAAAAAAGAGGTGGTGGGAACCTGGAGGCTAATTCACTCTGTATTAAATGGAAGATTTGGTGTTCCGAGGCGTAATTCTTCTTTTTCACTAACATCAGTAAACAGTAGTATCTAAAAAACTTGGGGCTGTGACATACCACTGCATCATGTAGTGTGAAGTCTTGTCAGAATTGGGCAAGAGGACAGATTTGCAGTGACGTCGTTTTCTGTGTAAAATACCAAACCAGAAGACACAAGTGGTTATTCAAAAAGGACTAAAAATAGATTTTTCTTCTGAGTTTTGATTCTTGTGTCGCATGGACTGAGATTTTCAAGAACTTCAAAGCTGTTCTGTACTGCAGAATATTTGAAACTTTCATTTTTTGATTAGTTTAATAAGTAGCTGTTGAAACAGTTCTCGAAAGAGAAGACTTTTAACACCACTGGTTATCTAGTTCTCCATTTCCTTGCAGCTTCCCTGTTGAGTGGTGTGAATTTGTTTTGCTAACTTGTCAATAAATTCTTCCCCAATGAAACAGGAAAGCATATGGGTACAGCTGCAGAAAGGATACTCTTCCCATAACCTGGCTAAAATCTTTCTTTAATAAACTGAATGTAAGTTTGACCTTTCCATAGCTGGAAACTTCTATCCATAATATATTCTGATTCTGCGGAACAATTACTGTCCAAGTTAATTTTCATACAGGATTTTTAATAGAAGTGTCTAATTTAGATACAAAATCCATATTTTGACTACAGGTAATGAAACACATTTATGTAAAAATTACGCTCACCTAGTGCCAGATGTTAAATACTAATGTAAAGGCGAATCTTAGTCTAGTGACCAGTCACTGGTTTGGCCACTGGGGTATGGATTCAGATTTAGCAATTACCGTGCAGCTGTGATGCTGTGTACGACTGAAATATGTAGATTAGGGAATGTGAGCTGTTTTGTTTTTTGGTGTTTTTTTTTTTTTTCTTCTATGCAAAACTCTCACCTCCCAGAATTAAAAGTTCTCAGGTTGTCAGTGCTTCACTTGGCAGCCTGGAGCAGTTCAAAAAAGCTGACAAAATGCTGTTGGTTCCCTGCTGTCCTCTCTTCCCAGCACAGAATCTGTCTCCTGGGTCTAAATCCGGTGCCCTGGGCGAAAGGTAGGGAATGGCACAAGTTAAGGCAGAAGGAGACTTGGGATGAAGTTGAACCCTCAGTCCTCGATCGCTGGCATCTTTGCATTTCCATGCCCTTCTCGTTAAGGTTTTGGTTTCTGTGTGGTGTCGGATGCGGACATCTTGATGTTACCAGTCCCAGAGCGAGCTCTGTTTTCACTGATGCCTCATGTATGGCCCACCGTAGCTTCCTTGTTTCTTTCCATCCTCTCTTACAGGTCAGAGATGTCAATTCACAGAATCACAGAATCCCAGCATGGCAGGGGTTGGCAGGGCCCTCTGGGGATCCCCCAGTCCAACCCCCTGCCCAAGCAGGGTCACCCAGAGCAGGCTGCACAGGACAGCATCCAGGCGGGTCCTGAATATCTCCAGAGAAGGAGACTCCACAAACTCCCTGGGCAGCCTGGGCCAGGGCTCCCTCACCCTCCGAGGG